GTTTATGTGGCAGCACCTTCTGCCAGCTGGACCTGCCACCACGGGCTGCCTCGGTGACATTCCCCTCCAGACACTGCAGCAACCCCAGAAAAAATTCCCCTTTCCTGCTCCAAGCGCAGCAAATCGAAAGAAGCCGGGGGAAAAGCAAATGTTTGCAGGACTTCTGCTTCACCAGCCGAACCACACCTCTGCCACGCAGGGATGACTCAGTGCTCCTGGCAGGGTGACGTGGTGGCCACGGCAAGGACGGCATCGTGCAGCACCCGAGCCAGCCCTTGGCCGGGGCAAACACCCCACTGTGCCCCAGTCCCTCCCCAGCTGCAGGGCGGCCACACCAGCAGCTTCGGGAGACAGCGATGCCACGGCGAGGGGACAGCCCAGCCCACGCTGTCCCCAGCAGCATCTCCCGGACGCCGCAGAAGTGGCTGCGACTTGGATTGCTGAGACAAGGGTGTGTCTTCCAGAGAAAAACAGCTCAGAAAACAAAACCACGGAGGAAGGCTCCAGAAGGGGCGATTCCTAACGCAAGCGATTCATTTATAAATGATGGCCCGGGAATCCGCTACAGCAGACGAGTTGAATTATTCACACCATTAGCAGGTCGCCGGCACGTTCCAGGAAAGCCTGCTAGGGAGCAAACCGAGCTCTGCAGCATTTCACGTCCCCCGCCGCAAGCTCTCGCTCGGTGCAGCTGGGTTGGCTTCGGGCTTCGGGAACAGGAGAAGACCCGCGATCTCCAGAGCTGCAAACAGCCACATTCCACCTTGCCCAGCAGCGCCGCAGCGCCCAGGGGTGCAGAGGGAGGAAGGAGCCCCCTCCACGCGCAGCCCCAGCACGAGCGGCGTTACCACCGGGCTCGTGGTTCACCCCAAAACCTGGCAGCATCACCCACGCTCCCAGTGCCAGCTACGCAGATGGGACACAGCGAGCGGGACCTGGCAGAGCCCTGCGCCCCGGCGCACCCACCGCCCACCCCGGGAAGATGCCCCTTCCACCCAGGGCACATCCCCTGGGCTCTCAGGCACACTCCAGCACCTGAAGGATAACAAATGGGATTTAACGAGTCTGAATGAGCCCCCACCTGCTCCCCACCACCCCAGTAGCTGAGAGCAGCGGGAGGAGGTCTACATTCACAAGCCCCAGCACAATTTTGAGCCACGCAGTTTCATGTCTTCCTTCAAGAAAGATGCAATAAGCCCCGCATTTAGTGTGCACCCCCGATGTAGAGCTGCAGCGTCTTTATTCCCCCTTCTCCCACGGGCGTAACGCACCCACGCTTGCAGGAGAGCAAGAAGCACAAAGCGAGTTATGCCCATTAGCCTCCAGGACAAGGGCTCTCCTGCCCATCTTCATCGCACTGGTGCTCCGGAGGAAAGATTCAGAAGCCCAAGGAAATGAGGAGAGTTTAACTCGAGAGAGCCAAATCCAGCGCGGGCAGCTCGACGTCCTCGTGCCACCTCTACCCTTACCAAAGGGGCACCAAGACACGATGAGACACGACCAGCGCCGCACCGTGCTCTTCCCTGCCCCACCCGCACCTCAGGCAATTAATCCAAGGAACACTAATGCGAGCGGGCAACCAACCCAAGCGTGGCGGGGCTTCAGAGGTGTCAGCAGGAGAGCACAGGCAGAGAGGATGAGTAGAAGGATGCTGTACTTACCCCTGCGGCGAAGCCTAAGCTCCCATCTAGGATCCGCCTCTGCAAAAACAAAACAAAACAAAACCAACACACAAAATGCACCGTTTAGTCCTGGCAGAAGTGGTGGAGTGCAACCACGCCACGAACCGCGCAAGGGGGGGAAGCCGGCTGCACCGCTGGGCACTCGCATAACCCCCTTCTCCCCAACCCAAGTGACTCCTGTGCTTTGAGGCAAGAGCCCTGCCCTGCACGCCGAGGAGCCCGTTGCCCCAGGGTGATGGCACCCACCACCATCAAGAGTCATGCCCC